GATGCTTTGAATTTTTCTTATATATTTAAGTGAGTACGTATGTATATATGTGTGTGTCCGTAGCAGGAAGTATATCAGCGCATCACTTCTCGTTCAATTTATTTAAAAAATGTTCCATATAAACTCATTACACTATGCCATTAATTTGAATATCACTCCGTTTAGTTGAATAAATATTAAAACAAATCAAGAAGAGACTGTAGAGATTTTAGTAAGAACTTTGATTAATATTTACTTGAGACCAAAAAAACTTAAAGCTTTAGGACTTTTTAACCATAACTACACCAAACATTGGAATTCTGAAAATTGAGGATCGTCGTTTTTGTGTCTTCGCTTAATTCAATAGTGGAATATTGAAAATCGTTTTGCTAAAGCAAACCATACTCTTGGGTAAATACAAGGTGTTCACCTAAGCGCTTAAGGCTTTCGTAACCGCGTAAACCTTGTAAATAAACCGTTTTCCCATACAAAATTTACTTAGCTTATGGAGTTTACGGTTTAGAAGAATCATCCTATATAAATATATTTTTTTTATAGCAAATGCCGCAGGAAAAATTCAATGCCAAAGATAAAAAAACGTTAAGTAAAATGAAAAATAGGGCACGAAATGAACTATTTAAAAAGTACTGCACACATATACAATATCAAAAATCCAATAGCTTCCTGAAAGCCAATGAAAAATTTTTGTTTATTGTAGTAAGAACAACAAGCATGTGTATTAATCATCATCCTCATCTGACTATTCCAACCTTAGGCCCCGGAAAAGTGCAGTGTCAAATGAGCTTACCTTAACAAGTGGAAAATAGATGAGATAAATTTTGGGTTAACTAAATTAAGATTAAAGAGTTTGTGCTTTGTGATAAAATGTAAAAAATTTCCTCAGGATGGTTTAAAATGCGAGCCAAAACAATTTAATCTTTGCATCAGGATGGCTGGTGAGCCTGTGGTAAGTCTTGCGATGATTCCACCTCACCTTCTTGTAAAGTGCGACAGGCGTGAATACCAACCGGACTTTGAATGCTTTCAAACCATACTGTGTCAGGATAACCTTGCATGCCTGACTGCCCGGCATGCAGTTTCGCTTAAAGACACTATAGCCTTGTATCCAAATAAGTCTTAATTAGAAAATATTTCGATGACAAAAATACACATCAAGCATTCCTTGCCCAATTTTAATATAATCATTGATCACCGAAATTTATGTTGATTAAAGAGCTCATGGCGTATTTATTCTGAGAAAATTTATGTAGAGAAAATGCTAGAGACAAAGCGATCCGTGTAATAAGGGATGGGATCGAAACTTTCCTAGAAATTTGAAGTGCTCAAACGCTGAGCTTGTTAGCCATACGGGTTTTGAGCCTGATTTTAGTCCGCGCTGCAGCAGCTTGGCCTGCAAAGTCAACAGGAATTACGCGCCATTGTGACAATGGCCTGTTGTACATAGTGATGTTCCGATACCAGTACTTAGAAGTATATACTCGAGTACCTCTACCAAGTACCGAGTATTTTTTGTATTTCGGTACGCGGGAACAAGTATTTCATGGGTATCGAGTACAAAGTGCAAGTATTTAATTGTTTGCTAAATTTGGGAAATTCAACTGAAAATAGATCTGTGTTGTAAGAATAATATAATAGATTGGCGCTTACACATATTTTAGTGTTGGGCCGAGCTTCTCATGTGTTGTAGTTTTTGAAAAAAAAAAACGATTCAAGATGTGAACCACTCGATTTCGCTGGGTTAGAACTAACGAAAGTGGAGAACGAAAATCGTATCGAATTAGAGGAGGATGTGAAGCCAGCCTATGATTTGCGGAAGCGTCGTCTATAGATCGGTTTGAAACCGAAGAATCAAACACAAGTAAACAATGAACTTTTTCATTACTTAACATCTCCTATTTCAGCACTTCCAAGTAACCCCATTCCAAAATAAAAGGATATGAAAAGGTATTTTCAGCTCTTTATAAGCTTTTATCCACTGTATGTCGTTATATTGTAAAAGGGCATTGAATTAAAATTTCTTGTGTGGGTACTTTCGAGTACAAGTGGAACCGAGTATTTCCTAGCGATACTTTGAGTAGCATCGAGTATTCTCTTCGATACTTTTAATGAGTACAGGCATCGAGTACATGGTGGTATCGAACGAACACTAGTTGTACACGAGCTGGTTGCCTAACTAGTGTAGCTATATCTAGCTAAGAAATAAATATGCGAACGAGATCCCATTGCCAAATCTCCATGCTTACAATACAACAAAAAAAAACAATTCCTCAAAATTTCTAACTGCTCTACAGTTCTCTTTAAAATCATAAATTGTACTTCGTTATTTCATTAATAACAACTTTTAGGTACATGGATAATAATGAGTATGTGGATTATGATAGTTAGTGAGTGATAGTGTTGGAAAACTTATGTAGGCTGGGACTTTCGACAACTCTCAAACAAGTTGCCATTAAGGTACTACAGTTCAGTTACACATAAATTACTAAAATTATTCAACAATTTCACATGCATAGATAAAATTCGATTATATGTATGTATGCACATATATGTGGTTTGTACATTAACATAAAGTGAGGTTTAAAAATTTGACTAAAAAATTGACTAGGGTATGATAAATTTCAAAAACAGTGGGCAGAAGACCATAATGCGAGCCATAAAAATACAAGTTCAGCGTGATACGGGTCATTGAGTTTAGTTAGCTCGATATATGGCATATTCAAGTGTTTCAAAATAAACAATGACTAATGAACACATCTCTAACTGTGTTGCCTTTGTAATTTTTGATATGCTCTATAATATACTAGTGACAGTTTCAACCAGAAAGTTCAATGTATCATATGTATGTATGTATGCCGATTTAGGTGCAAATTTTTAATATTTCGTAACATTAATTATATATATATATTTTTTTTAATGTACAATTAATTTTAATTAAAAATTATATGCTCATAATAAGTACGCAGGCTTCTCGGAAGCTAAACGAATCAAATTTTTTTTAAAATTAATTTTTCTTATCTACTACATAAATATACATGCATATGTAAATATTATTGTTTCTGCTCAGGGGTCAATGCGATCAGATCAAGCGACTAACGTTTCTGTGATCTAAATATGTATGTTAAAGTAAATTTTTCGATATGAGCAGCCTGCCTATGTGCCTGAGCGAACAACAAAACTGTAAAATAAAACATTTAAAATTCGAGGTATGAAATTTATAATTCCAAAATCGAGGGATACGATGGATACGAGTACGTGATGTACGGACAAAATTGGTTCTAAATTTTGAAGTCTTGTCGAAACAGCATAAAAGATCCAACATAAATTTTATTTACGCACATTTCTTATTTCTCATTCGTTTCTTAGATTTTATGTTGTCCGAGCAGAGCACATCCAAGAAGAAAATTAGAGAGTGTTCCGAAAATATTTGACAGCGTAGTGTGTCTTCTGCCTAAGCATTTGTCACTCTTCCTTGCCATTTACTCTAGTTCTTCATTACCCGCTATACAGTTGTCACCATTCATCATTAAAAAAAGTGAAACTATATACTCGTAATAACCTTAATACACTCCATATGATCTGACCCCTTTTACTAATTTTTTAAGACGTTTACTTAATTAAAATTTTCACAACACAAATTTCCATATGCATTACTTTCAATCCATCACTTCTTTTGCCAATTACTCTCTTTGGAATTCAAATAAGCGTAATTTTATAAGAAAACGGGGATTCAAAATGTACGTAGTGCCATTTCGAAAGCAATCAATTCTTTTCTTGCCTTTTCATGCCATCTTTATAATTCTTGCAAATATTTTCGAACTAAGTACGCTTGCCTATGCTTCTTATGGTCGTTGAGTTCTTATGTATGTATGTATAATTATTTACATTTGTAGTATGTTTAGTTGTGAAATAATTTGAATTCACACTTATTTTTGTATGGTTCATTCAATTTCTTTAGCATTCCAAAATTTTTTGGATAAAACGCTTCAATTATTCTATGCCTTAGCACCCAATTAACAGTTTCAGTTAAATTTTTTGCTGGTCTAGTTTTAGGCCTATTAATTTAGTTTATACGAGTATGTATGTAGTATGTATCCAGTATTTTACTTTAGCCTTTTTTCTGCTCCCTAAATTTGCTGTTTGCAAAAACGCATTTTTTCTAATACATATTATGCATAATTTTGGTACATTTTGTCTTTTAAACAGCGTGTAATAGTTCATAACGATTGCTTATTTTTGCGTTTTATTTTTATTTTTTTACGAGTATTTGCAAATTGCATATGAGTTTATGAACTGAATGAATTTTCTAGTAAAGAACGCGTTAGGGCGTTAAAGGCTTAAGATATACTACATGAATTTGTATCTGTTCCTATGTATTCGAATGTATGTATGTATATATGTAGATGTGTTGTCGCAAAATTCAGCAGTGGAATATTGAAAATCGTTTCGCAAGGTTAAACTATAGCACCGGTGATCGATGAGATGAAAACCCTATTTTAATATGCAATATCCAGCAAAAACCGGTAACAGTTTTTATCGTTGGCGTTTTCGTTCGCAAAAACTTGCCAGAAACCAGAAAGAGGAAGGACATTGAGATAGCAAAAAGGACAGCTAAACTTGCAAGTTTTACCGTATTTTTATGGAAACATTTTTTGCAGTAATAATTTTCCAGTAAGAAAAACAGGAGATGGCATGATGCTTAGTGCAATTCACGCTAACAACCCAGTAGATAATTTCAGGAGTAAAAAGCCCTTCCTGACAGTCAAGAGGCCTTCCACCCTACATTCCTATCTCCTGTCATTTTCGTATAGTGTGACACAAATTAAAGGGCTTCCTCCTTCGCTACCATTAGAAGGCCTTCCAGAAGGGCTTTTATAGGACGTTCTTAAGCAGGCCTTTTAGGGGAGTTTTTTTTTTAAGTTGCCTCTTTAATAAATAAAAATCATACATCTTTGAAGTATTTGCTTAAGGTTTATATTAAATATGTGTTATTGCAACTTAAAATGTTTATTGAAATAAATTTTTAATTCTAAATAATATAAATTTATGCAATCGCGTAAATTGTAAATGGATAAGTCCTTTTAGAAGGCATGCAAGGAAGCACTTTTTTCAGCCCTTCTTGGGTAGGCCTGTTATAAAGGCTTCACTTAGGAAGGCCTACCTGAATTTTCTTCTGGGAAAATAATTGTTTGTGGAGCTTTTATAGTTGCAATTGACAAAATAAATCTATTTAAATGTATAATACGATGGGAAATACTGTTTTTCTTAGAAAGTTGCTTCGGAAAACAACAAATTAATCAGCTATTCATTAAACTTGCAACTTCTTGCTGGTTTTTCTTGTTAGCTTACTCTCTCAAATTTGGTTACTGGCAAGTTACTGGACAGTTTCTTACTGGAAAATACGAAAACAGAGCTAAAGTCTTCTGCGCATACATACTACATAGCGCTTTTAGGTGTTGCCTCTCAGGTGCACTGGGTATACTTTTTTGACAGCTTTCAAAGTAATACTTGTTTGAAGATTAAATATTATTGAATTAACAAAAGCCGTGCATTCGGTTCTTGTTTTGACAGGATTCACAGAGTCTTTGTTGAACCAAACAGTTCCTATTGCCACCATTTTGCGTGCAGCTACATACCTCTTTGTTTCGAAAACTAGATTTTATACCCACATTTTTTTTTTATGAACAACACCTTAAGTCCTTAAGACAGGGAAAAGCAGATTACCAAAGACAGAACTGGTACAAATAAAATTGAAATCGCAAAAACGCGTGCTCAACGATTTTCCGATATCCCACTGCAGTTTTAACGAATGTAATTCTGTTGCAGAGTATTGCTTTTACTGCTCTTTTCTTTGACCGTTTCTGTTGTTACTATTTCCTCAACTCTCCAGCATTTCGTGTTCTTATTTGCACTGACATTGTCTTAACCTTGCTCTTCTCTGTAACTTCAATAGTGCGTCATTTAACATCTCTTCCTATTATGAGTATGTAATTTGTTTAGCTTACTAGTGTTATTTTTCTTGCTTTTTGTTTAACGAGTATTTCCGCGTAATGACGATTTTTATGTATAATAAATCCTAACCAAAAACAGAATGTAAGCGAGTAAAGTACATTTTTACCTTCTTAAATATGAGACTACAGTCAAGGTTGTGTTCTTATGGTCTTTTCTGTTATTTGTGTGTAGCTTGTGTGGATGTCTTTGTTTTACCTATCGAGTACTGAGTAACGAGTTTTTTGAGTTCAATTTACAGCATCGCTCTTATATTTCTTACATGTAGTTCTTAGTTAGTTTTAGTTTTTATGTTGTTCCTTTTGCCAAAGTCCGTTTTGTTGTAATTTTGCTATGATCCTTTCTGCAGTTTATAGTACATAATAAGTGGTTTTGCGCTATTTCAGCTGTTGAATTCCTAAACTTGCGTATCCATAAGACTTGTATAGGTTTCCTCAGCGAATTTCGGTGTTATGAAGTCGTCATAGTAGTTAATGAAGATCTCCTTGTATTCGTCCGGTATGTATTCGAGTGCTTGTAACATTTGCATCAGTTCCTTATCGCTACATTTGTAATTGCTAAGTGCCATGATATCCCAAAAATAGGACATGTGTTGTATATACTCTATGCTAAAGACACTATATTGTGCAGCTACAATATTGAGAGCATTACGCATAATCGAGCCCAGCTTATTGAATTCCCAATCGTCGAAAGGTTTTTGCCCCTCTGTGATAGCGGAATCGTTTCGTTGATGTGGATGTGATGCGTTCGAGTAAAAAAGGTAAGGCGTAGTTAGAAGTTGGAGGATGTTATTTAAGGAATAAGTGGGGAAAAAAGTATCGAGAGAGGGTACAATTTTTGTAGCATAAGATTATAGGTTTAAGCATAGAAAGTATTAGAACAAATCATTGTTTCGTGCGCGTAGTCGTAAATATGAAAACAGAGAAAGAAATAGAAAATACGTAGTTAATATTAGTAACGCACTGAAAATACATAGGTACATATAAAAATAGATTTAAATAGACATGTCTTGAAATTTAATGCATTAAAAATACATATGTATGTGAATGTACATATATTTGATTTACGTAACTAGTATAAAAAATTAAAAGCTACTCTATGTTTCTCAAAGGTACATACTGAGGGCCTAGTTTTTGTTTTAACTCTAAGATTACGAAATTTAGTGCCACAGTTCTAAGGCTATGCTTACATTTTTTGGTTCTATGGGTATAAGAGTATTATGTACTTTTAGTTCTTAAAAGCCTACTGCTACAGTTTTTAATCCTTTCTACTACAGTTTGCAATATTAGGGATACACATAACTTGAATTCTCTACTTAAAAGTGATTAATCAGCGTAAAAACTCGATGCGACTAATATTGAGATTTTTTGGTCCTAGGGTCGACATCGTTTGGTGGTTTTCTAGCTTTTCCCCCGGAATACTTTTTTGAGCTTATAAGAGTAGTAAAGTGGTGTAATGAATAGTCAGGATTGCAATATTTCCTCTTTCATCTCGGCATCAAAAGACCAGCTATTAATTTCATATAACCTGGATTGTGGGTAAAAGATGGACTTAAAGGGGTGGATTTATTAATTTATAGATAGAGAATAAAGAAGTGTCTGTATTCTCCACGGGCATATTTGAAATAAAACACTCCATTCAACTGAAATTTTGTAGCACTTTTCCTTGGAAGGTCAAAACAAGATTAAGCGCAATACGAATAACCTGAAAGGTTTAGCTACAGAAACGCGTCATTCAAATTAACTCAATAGAACATTCTCGTCCGAAAGATTTTCGAAAACGTAGGGTTCGACTTAAAAAGGCAGCTGTTATATGCATATGGATCTGAAAATTATTTGCGTTTCTTCAGGTAATCAAACAGGTGGCAATTCTATGTTTAATCAAAGAATTTCGTCAAATCATCAGACATGGATAGTCCTGTCAGTTGCACTGGCTTAGTCTATATATTACAGTCCAAACCTAAACATAGTTCGTGTAAAAAGCTCTTTATTTTACTCTTAGCTTTTACTCTACGTGCGTCCTTATCAGTGTTGCTAAAAATAGCGTCCGCGGGCAGAACCCTTCCAGAACTTTCTTTAGATTACTTATGGGTGCGCAAAGAGTAAAATCTTTATCTCTGCGCATCACTGGCCCATATAAGATCTGCAGAAAGCCGTAATAAGCTTCATCCGCGTGCTAAGTTTTTGGTAAAATAGTGCTCTAACTACATAAAATACTGTGAAGAAACGGCTTGGGACTAGCGCAGACAGCAACCAAACTAGACACGTTCAAAACATGTGCCACGAGAAAAGTCAGTCTAAAAAGCTCTCTATGATAGTTGCCGATCTAAAACATAGCCCTCTAGAGAAAGCTTTTAGAGATTTCAATAAATTTTGTATAGACGCGCAAGGATAGAAGCTCGCTCTAATTGTCGTTGGACTAATTCGCGAAGACACAGTCAAAACTACTAGGTTTTTATGTGGCCTTGCATTTTTATAAAGAAAGGGAAAGCTCCGAATGCCGACTAATTTCTATTTTTATAGCTTTGAATTTTTCGTGCTGTCTACATGTAAGCCGTGCTTTGGGTACGATTTTACTAAGTCTTACACCATGCACATGAAATCTATGTATTCTTTAAAGGACTTTTCGATTTTACTTTTCTACTATATAGTTAAGAAAAATATGAGGAGAAAGTGCGAGGTTAGTGAACTAAGCTTTCTTTAGTCGACTTCAAAAAAGGAGGAGGTTATTAATTCGTCGGAATATTTTATTTATTTATTTTTTTTATGTATGTTACCGCATGACTTTGGACCACGTTAACCGATTTCTATAATTCTTTGTTTTTTTTTTTTTTTAAAAAAGATGGTACCTCAGATGTGGTCCCACACTAAATGAAAAAGTTAACGGTACTCTAAAATTTTTTTAAAGAGATTGAAAATAGAGAGTAAGCTTATCGCTAGATAACAATTGCATCTTCAATTAATTATTGGATATGCCACTTGAGAACTGCACAACTGTACCAATAAATATTTTAAAGAATCGAATTTCCACTAGGCACTGATATGACGATTTTAGAAGTGGAACATTAGTAAATATTTAAACTATTTGTAATTCAATGCCCTGTGAAAATCTGACGTAGGATAGGAAACTCTGCCAAATGGCCGCTTACAGTATTTTGTTTGCGCTAAACTGTGTGAATACTGGCTTAAACATAAGTCGACTGAAATAAAAAAAAATGTATTTCTTCCTCTTCTACATATTGCTTGTCACTTATGTTTATTTTTTTTATTTTTAAGAATTGTCAATTAAAATACAGTTCATTCTCTAACAAAACTAATATAAACCCAGATTTAAAGCTTTGCAGAATACTAAAAAAAAAAATTAAACAAATTTCCATCTAAATTCCAAACTTTTTACGCAGAAGTTTTAGTGTTTTTGATAGTAAAAAATCAACGCTAATTTTTAGCCACTTGAAATTTCCACATTATTAGACTAAAATTGAATGGGCTCTAAAACTGTATACTCAAAAAAAAAAAAATAAATAAAAATCTAACCCTTCTGAGACAAAAAGTTTGAAATAGGGATGGAAATTTGTAGATTTTTTCAGGTTTCTACAAAGTTTTAAACTTATATGGGTTTTGTTAAAGAAAGATATGTATTTTAATGAAAATTCTTAGAAATAAATAAATAAACATGAGTGGCAAACAATATCACTTTCAAATGGGGTTGCTATTGATATGACCGATACTGTATGCCTTCAACTTACCCTCACATACGCACTATTGCTCTACATGATTTACGCTTTGCTAATCTAACAAATATTTATATACATAGGCAAACAAAGAACTAAAACTTCCATTTCTAAAAAAAAAAATCATCTTAGAATTTCTCAATCCCTTCGGTGTTATTAAAATTTAGCGCTAAAATTTTCTTTTCTTTGGATTTCACTTGTCTTCTTGTCGCGCTTGTGCTAACTCAACTTTCTACATACAACTCTCAGCTACAGTACTAACTGCATACAAATAAATATTTATACATAATATTTTACACATGTGCATTAGGGTGGCGCGTAAAAATATAACATTTTGTATGGGACACCCCTTCAGTTTGGTCTAAATTCCAAAATTTTAAAACAATAAAATACATAATTAAAAAAATCCGAATTTTTTCCAACCTCAAAAGCCCTGGCGGACTTTATGTGACAGATCAAATTTTATACATAAATATTAACGGATTTACTTTAATATTGGTAGTTAGAGGTTTATGGGGTCGCTGATTACGAATATTAATAGAGGAATTATGGCTAAGATAGTAAAAAGTCCTTCGTAAGATTAACGAAAGACGGATGTCAAGATAGTTCGAAAGACTTTTCTTATTATAGCTTAAAGTCTTAGAAAAAAAACTTTAGAAAAAAAGCTCTCTTACTCACCGCTCGTGGTGAAAAGCTATTTTAAGAGAAAGCACTTGTACATTATTTAGCTCGCGTCTCTCCAACAGTCGCAACGGCCGAGTGAGCAAAGCACGGGCGTACCATTCGAGAGATCCGGGTTTGAGTTCTCGAGCAGCGGAACTTTTTTTAATTTATATATATATATTTTTTTTAATAATTTTTTTTCTTTTCAATTAACACTCTTTCAATTTGATTTTTTATTGTACTACTAGGAAAAATATATTGTCTTCTATTTCATTTAATTTTTAGGAACTTAATGTGCTTAATTTTCTGTTAACTTTTAAATTTTATTGTTTAAAAACGAGAAGCTATTTTTTATTTCATTTAATATTTAAAATTTTATTTTTTTTATTTCATTATTTAATTTGTTTTTCTTTTGTTATTTATTTTTCTTATAATTTTTGTATTTCATTGTTTTAAAAGAAGATATATATTTGTTTTATTTCATTTAGTTTTTAGGGACTTATTTTAATTATTTTTTTATGATTTTTTTAGTTAAATTTTATTTTAAATTTTGGATTGTATTGTATTTTTTTTAACTACATTTAATTTTTAAATTTTTTTTTATTTATTTCTTGGTTTTTTTTAATTTAATTTGTGTTTCTTGTGGTAATCTGTTTTTAATTGCTATACATATATTACTGATTTGAAAAGAAAAATATATTTGTTTTATTTGAATTAATTTTTAGGATCTAATGCAATTTGTTTAATTTTATTTCTTTGTCAGTTTTTAATTTGACTTTTTATTGACTTTTAGATTTTGTTTTAAAAATAAAACTACGTTTTTAAATTTTATTTAGTTTTTAAGTACATACTACTTTTTTCTTCTTTTGATTACATTTTTCTCTTTTTACAATTAATTTTTAAATTTGATTGTTTTAAAAAGAAAAAAAATTTATTTAATTTTTAAAAATATTTTAATTTATATTTGCTTTGTTTTCATTTTACATATTTTTATATTTTTTAAATTAAATTTTCTTTTTATTAGTTAAAAAAAAACATATTTGTATGTAAAGGTGCTACATATATTTAATTTAATTTCATTAAAAAAACGCTTTGCTCAAAATTGAAAAGCATAACGCTAAGGCCTCCTCGTTAGCAGATCTTTCAATTTGTCTTTCGAAAGACAATAAAGTGCTTTCAAGACAGTTGTCAGAATTGACAGATAGATAAAGGCCTTTCGAAAGACTGTGGTGAGTTGAAAGACAGTTGCCAGAATCGCCCTGTAAGTCAGATTTTCGAAATGCCAAATGGCAGCACATGGTTGTCGAATTTAAAAAAAATTAATTTCAAGAGAAACAAAGGAGCCAAAAACCATCGAAATTTTTTACAAATTTAAGGTTAGTGGAAATATTGAAAAATAATTGTTGAATTTCGATTTCAGAAATCAAAAACATATAAAGATACTCAATTTTATAGGAATTCATAAGTTTTTGTAAAAATTTGACCACCATATTGGATGCGACATTTCGAATTTGGATATTCTGAATTCATATACGTAATCAGCAACCTCTAAAACCCCTGGTTGCCAAGTTTATATTAATTCAATTCAATTTTTTTTTTTTAATGCGATCGCCATATTGGAGCCGCCATTTTGAATTTCGAAAATTTTACTTCAAATTCGTAATCATCTACATATCTCGAAAACTACTAGATGTGCAGTTTTTTATTGCGCCATTTTGGGATTTTGAAAAGCTGACTTCATATTCCTAAACGGCGACCTCGAAAACCTCTGAATACCAAGAACAAAGTAAATCCGTCAATATGTATACAATTTTGTCTGCCACATATAGTTCGCCACGATTATTGGGGCTAGCTCTGGCGAGGTGAGCAAAACGGACTTCAAAGTCGTATTCAACGTCACCAAAAACACACCAAACACGTGGTCTGCTCAAGAGAACCTTTTAGCGTTTTTTTAATTTCTTGTCCTCCGTAATATTTAGAAGTCGTTACCTTTTTATTTTGCGATGACTATAAATTTATATGAATAGCATTCAATAATACGTAGCGACCTTGGTAGCGACTAGTAAAATTTGTTTTAAAATTTTGAAGTGGAAGTCCTTATTTGGTACATGGAAAAATACATAGAACAAAATGAACAGAAGGGATGCCCTATAAAAAATAAAGATTTTCATATTTTTAAGTACCACTCTAATGTACTTAATACTTAATGCGGCGTAAAAATATCCTAAAAAACTAATTAAGTACATTCTAGCTTTTTTCTACAATACAATAAAAAAAGTTAAGTACAAAGAAATAGTTTCGCATGTACATAAGTAGCTAGTATTTATGATAGATACATATGTATGAATATTTACTTTTACTTAATCGATAATAATTATGATTAAATTTGATGATGATTGATTATTTTTGTTATTTGTTATTTGTTATTGTTACTGTAAAATAATGTATGTATGTATGTAACAACGTACCTCGATGCATCAATAAACATTGCTCGACTAATTGACACGCCAAAGCGACTTTGCATTCGTGCATTTCTACAAGTTGCGTTTCGGCCCGCTCAACGGCCGCATACAACTTGCAACGCACCTCAACCGCATCACAGTCGCTCAGTGCAGCGTTGAAGGTCCAAAACCATTCCAGTTTTTGGCTTTCGTCACAAACGCTGCACACCAGCAGATCGGTGCCCTCGTTGATGGGGTTTTTGTAATACGGACTGCGCCACCAGCGTAAATTGCGTGTATTTTTGAAATCGCTGGCGGGTGGTGTGAATATTTGCATACATTTTGGATTATCACAGCGATAGCGATGAAATTTATGCTGGAAAATTTTGGGGTTTTCGTAATTTCATAACACTTGATTACACGTATGTGGGTATGTGGGTATGTGGGTGTACGTATGTATGTGCGGCGTCGTATATAGAAAGGACGTGCAAATAAAAATATGTATGTATGTATGTAAATTGGTGTAGCATTTTTGATGGATTCGTTTTTCAATATTTTGTGGTATTTAGTGCAGCAGTGGCGGTCAGTTTTGAGCGAGTATAAAGGAGTAAGCGTAGTGAAGAGCAGAATTTTAGAAGGATAATTAAGAAATAAAAATTGCAAGTTGTTTTTTTTTTTTTGACGCGTGCTTTAAAAAGAAAGCTAGTATGTAAGCACAAGGAAAAAACAAAATTGCCCAAGTTAAAGCGCATTGAGCATACATTTTTTCCTCGTAAAATATATTTTGTGGTTCTCAGCAGAGCGGGCAGGCAAGTGGCAGTGATTGACAGTGACACAAGAAAACATCAGACATTTGACACGGACAAAGGACACAATGCATAGAAGACGACAAACGACAAGACAAGAAGTGTGATGAAAAAAAAAAACAAAAAAAAATAAAAAATAAAAAAAAATAAAATCTGACGCTTATCTATAATAGGAGTCTAAAGAAAAAATGTTATGTCTCAAACAGAAATGGTTCTAAGTAAAATGTTTCGCTTTTCCAAACGGTTTAAAGTCTGCAATGGGGGAAAAATTTGCATGTCTTAAGCAAAAACTGTAAAGTGCTTACTTTTCTGAAAAGAAAAGAAAAAAAAATAGCTTAATAGGATTATCGTAAGGAAACGTTGAAATGACACCAGCAGTGACGTAGTGACAGAATGAATGCGTCAACCAAGAATGGCAAGTGGAATCGTTCACAACAATTTCCAAGAACAGCTACCACAAATATTGCCAGCTTTGATTAAAGCATCAGAATAAAAACTAGTGCCTAAAATCATCAGGAAAGCGGCCCCCATTCAGACTTCTTCTTCACTGGCTCTGTAACCGTCTAAGCGATTTTGGTCGCTCCTTTTCTGTGCCAACTGAAGCCAAGTCCTTCTCCAGTAGGTCTTTCCAACGTATAGCAGGCCTTCTGCGTCCTCTGTTACCAGCATCGCGGCCCGCGTTGAATACTTTAAGAGCTGGAGCGTCGGCGTCGAATGACATGGCCTAGCCAGCGAAACCGCTGTATTTAAATACGTTGCACTATGTTCATATCGTTGTAAACCACATACAGCTCATCGTTACATCGTTTGCGGTACTCGCTGTCGCCAACGCGTAAAGGCACGTAAATCTTCCGCAAAATCTTTCTCTCGATTATTCCAAGAGCCACCCCCTCTGATGACGCCGTTGTCCAGGCTTCTACGCCATTTACCAGTACGGGTATGATGAGTGACTTATAGAGCAAGGTTTCGTACGGCTTGGAGAGGTCCTTCCCAATTCTGATGGAGCTGGTGGTATTGCGCAAAGTAATTTTATACAGCCATTTTAGTTTCTCGGGGGCACCCAACTCAGACATCGCGGCGTAAAGACCATTTCTATTCGTGTTATCGAAAGCGGTTTTGTATACGGAAAAATTTACTTATATTCTCATGTAGAATCTTCCCCCAGGTTCTGTACTTCTCCGATCTTCTGGACGATCGTCACATGGTCTGGGCGATAAATTCGTTCAAACAAACCATTAAAGTCGCTGGGGACCGATGGGATCATACCTGCGCAGATGCAAGGTGTCGAAAATCCCATAGGGGATTTTAGGCCTATCAGTCTCTCCGTGATTGCTAAACACGCTGAAGAGACTTTCTTTCAAGAGCTCAAAAAAGAAAAGGTCTGTGAATACCGCCCTGCACACATTGGTAAAGTGGCCAGAAGAAGCCTTCAGGCATGAAGATTATGCAGTAGGGGGCTTCTTCGATATTGAGGGGGCCTTCAACAATGTCACTGCAGAGGCTATAGTCAAGTATTTTCATAATCTGAGAGTTTAAACCAATCTAATGATGCTTATCTACAGCTTAATTCGTGACAGAACTGTCGCGTCGGAGTGGGCGAGTGTCTGCTCTCAGTGCAAAGTCAATAGGAGCACTCCAGAAGGTGGTGTTCTCTCTCCGTTGCTCTGGATTACGGTTGTAAAGGACCTTCTAAAGGAACTGGAAAAAGTGGGCTGTCGGGTGATCGCCTATGTAGATGATGTGGAACATTTGGTTAAGGGATGATTTCTATATACCCTTTTTGATATGGCTCAAGGCTAGTTGTATCAGGTAACTAGGTGGGCGATCAATGGCGGAACTCACTAGGCAATTGTGCGATTGGTATTAATGCGGTTAGACTAGGAATTTTAACTGATCCTTTTGAAGGAAGATGAAGTGGAATCATCTCCACGCTTTCTTTTAGACTGTCTAACCTTCGCGAAGCTAAGATGAAAGCATTTTGGCTCGCACTTCTGAACAAATACTGAGCTCTCATCTCAGCTCGAAATTAGCCGCATTCGAAATTTCGTAATCGGCTCGCGGCGTTAACTTAAACCCACCTAAGCTGTACTTCTTTTTTGACCTATGAAATAGTTGGTCACATTACCTATAACCAAAGGCAGGCCGCGTTACTTAAAACTTAGCCTTATCAAAGTAGGGCAGATAAGAAGAAAGTGTTGAGATGATTTCCCGGAATTAAAGATCCTAGGTTAGATTAGGTTAAGTGGGCGGCTCGGAGAAGAGTTCATTCGGAGGCCACAAATGCCCATTATGATGCCCAGGAGTGTTTCCCCATGCCTATCCCTACATGTCTTTGAACCATTTTGATTCTCTGGCGAATCCAAGCAGTCCTTCCAGAGGAGCTTTCCCTAAGAAATGGTCCCCAAGAAACTTTAGGCGTTTTCTTCGGAGTGCTGGACATTCACAAAGGAAGTGCTGGACGGATTCTACCTCTTCCTCATCCCAAATGATATTAACGTGTTCCGCATGGGTTTCTATTAGATAACATTCGAACAGCATATCTATTAGGACCGAAAGTTGGCGCTTGTGCAACTTAACAAGCTCTTTCGAAAGCCTGCGATTCGCCACTGCTCATTATCACAGTGATTTTGACTAAGTGCTCCCTAAGCCCAACAGTCCATGAACAGGCGGCAGGTTGCCACGAGAACCGATATACATTCCCTGTCAGGCAAAATGATTCAGCACCGTGCTTAGTAATTTCATCAGCCATTCAGTTTCCTGCAATGCCACTGAATAATTACTACCAAAAAAAAAAACCAAAGGGTAGATTAGTTTTTAAAAATCGCTTTTCGTACTCTTCATATGCATAGTTGTTGTGGCATTAAGTTTCAAAATAGCTATCTCCTAAAAAAAAAAAATGTTAACGCAACATAACCAGTCAGCTGGTATAATCTTCACATAATCAGTAGCCAGAAAAAAATTGTGTAAGAAAAAATATGATTTCTTTTAACAAAAAAGCCAATGTGAATGTACAAGTGAATGACGAGGAAACGAAAGTAAAGCAAAATAAAATGCTGCTTATGAAAAAAAAAATGCACAATAGAAACATGAATGCCGTTAAACGCCTAAAACTATGTAAACATTGAAATATCGAATGAACGCAAGTCAGTTCGAAATCACTAATGCAAAATACACACATACTAAACATTAATGCAAAAACACATACACGCACATACATAAAGAAGGAGAGTAGGCAAACAAACGCAAACGGAAACACAAACACGAACATGTGAACTCGGAACAGAACAACCATAGAACGCAAAATGAAAGAAAAAGAATTCAATAACAACATCAAGAGCAAACACACCCACATGGAGGCAATGAAAAGTGGAATTAACTATAATCGCTACTACTGCATACGCACACAAACACTTTACACTTATTCACACTTATTCGGCTACTTTGGCTCAAGTATATAAACATATGTTCACATGTATGTATGTATGTATGTTTGTATATATGTACATTAATAACAAAATGAATACATATATATATTTAGTAGACGTTTAGATGAACTACGTACTAGTACGTGAGTGTGTGTGCGCGCGGTTCTGTGTTTATGTGGTTGGCGGATATTCAAGTGGGCATGGGGAGAGGGAAGGCGAACGAGTCGTACATTTGGCGCACACGTAACATAACATAACGATTAGTTTAGCGAGTGTCATAAAATACACAAGTATGTATAATCTTTTAAGCTGGCACTTACAAAATCCTCATCCGGATATGGACGAAAGCACTTGTCGCACTTGCAGTCGATGCCGCGCGCCTTGAGGTCCTGCCTCCGTGTCTCGTGCAACGATTGTCGATAGTCCCCAGCATAGACAAAGCAGTTGGTAATGCACGCGCCCAACAGTATATCACAGGTCGCATAAGCGCTCACCTGCCGACCCGAATGCTTACGATACACTTGGCCAACGCACGATTGCCGACACAGGCTAAGCGTTTGCGGATAGACCGCATAGGCGATACACGTCACATCACCGGCCAGCAAATGCAATTGGCCCTGCCGCACATGTTTCACCGCCGACCACAGACTGTACTCGTGCAGTGGCGAGAGTATGTGCGGATCTGCGGGCAGCACAAAGGACGGGCAGTGTATGAGATTCTTGTGCCTCAGCTGGCCAATGTGGCGCAGCAGTAGCGCAGCGGACAGCAATATCCATTCGCTGCGTGCCAACTTCATTGGGGCGGGCATCATGAGATCGAGGTGCTCGAAGAAGTCGGTGCATTCGGCCAAGTAGATGGCCAGTATGTGCGCGGCAATCGCTAGCGAAACAGTCGTCTCAGCGTCGATTTTGTCGAGGTGCGTTTCGAGGCGCAGCAGCGCCGAATAGGGTATGTCCGTACGTTCGGTGAGTATGCCATTGAAGGCGTTCCACATCTTGTTGACAGTCGGCCGTTTGCGGCAGTGCGGCATCACTTGTGGCAAACCGGTGATTAGCATGCGAAAGGCGAGCTGCAGTAGACGTGGCTTGGCGAACGCCTCGCCAAACTCCTCGAACAGCTCAATCTGGTGGGCGAAACATTCGAGCACATGTATGGAGGAGTGCTGGCTACGACATTTACGCGAACAATAAACGGATGTGCGATTCGAACAGTAGTCGCATGGAAATGGTATGAATTGTGTGATGGCGCAATTATCGCAGATGCGCGCTTGGCCGCTGGACACAAAAACGGCAGCGTGCTCGTTGAAAATGGGCATGTGCCGGACAATGTCTGTGGTGGCGCGCAAATAGGCGCGGCGCGTCGTTGTAATGGCATTCGAGGTATCCGACCAGGCGCTGGCGTCGAGAGAAGAGACGTGAAAGTTAAAAAGTTCATCTATAACAATTTAGCAGAACTTACACTTCGTAGACCTTTAACCGATTGCTGCTACTCCCGTGCAATATGTGTTGCGGTGGCGGCGCCATCGCCGCGTAATGATCATCGTCCGTCTGTACGCCCATGTCGATTTTTTCCGATTTCAGCACCTCGCATTCGTGCCAGAGTTCGTGTGTGCGCGCCTCAAACGCCTCGGAGAGATCCATGTGCAACAGCTCGTGCACATGCAGCTCGCAGAGCGCAAAATTACGCAACTTTAAGGCACAAGCGGCTTGGCGTAGTTTGATCAACGCATTATACTCTTCGGGATAGCCCAGCTCCAGGGCGCACAAGCAATCGTCGTAGGCTTCCTGTAAGAAAAACATAGAAAAAAATAAGTTACGCTACTGATAAACGACAAAATGAGCAGCGGAAAATTAGCAGTTACACGACTTAGAAAATTTTCTCACGTGCAGCTAAGTGGAGAGCAGAAATTAATTAATTTTCAATGGCAAAAACAAAAAAAAAATTTAGTAAGAATGTGAAAAACCATCGTTAGCGCGAAGAATGAAGGCAAAATGAAAGATGAAAGCAATGTTGAAATTGCGATAACAATACAACAGTCACGAAAGCGCGCGCGTATGTGGGCTATGCAGCAGGCGGTTAGCTGCAGGAGCGCTGTTGGAACAACATAGCTTTGACTTTTCTGTGTGGTGTTAGGTGCGCGCCGTCCAAGGTCGTTTAGCCGTTGTAAAGCCAAACATTAGCAACGCTTAGTTGACCACTGAATATTTAGTGGAAATGTATGACTTGAAATACGGGTATGAATCGCGTGAAAGATTTTATCAAATTCGTAATTCATCACGCGTATATGGGATACGAGGATGGGCTATTCGTGGCGATTTCGAAACGATGCAGGGATAAGTGTAGAATATTAGGAATGGACTACGAAGCAGCGAACTTCAAAAGCACCCACAGAAATAGGAAGCAAAACTAATATTACAAATGAACCTTAATCTTTGCGAAGCGGCTTAAAAACTTAGAATGGCAGGTGCCGCTGTGGGCTTCATGAAGGAAAAACCCGTCGGGATATATAATTTGGTATGAACAAATATCAGCTAAACGGCATGCTATCAGCAATCATAGTAAATAGAAGCTCACGGAAAACATCTGCTTATAATCACCATAATGTATGCAAACATCCGAGGTACATCCGAGGTCTAACGATCTACATCTCAAACACGAGTACAATAGAAAAATTGGAAACAATTGTCATCCGATACCAAAGCCTTTGCGGTAGCCTTCAGAGCCCTTTTGAACAGCTTGTCATCGTACACGTCTTTCATAAACTCAGTATATTGTACCGGTGGAACCAGAAAACCTCCAAGAAAAAGAAGAAATGTTAGCTAAGTCTGAAGAAAAGCATAGAGAACTCACTTTTGCTGTGCATGGACTCCATTTAATTTTTATTTTTAAAAAGTTTGAAAAAGCTAGCTAAAAGCTAGGTCGTGAACTTTAAAAAATTGTCTGTGAATCGACTCATAGGCCTCTGGTACCAAACAGTTCCGTATAAAGTTAAGGAGCCAATGACCTCTTTGTTGGTCAATATAGTCAAAAGAGATGCTCACAATATGCAGAAGCCTGTGAAATATGAGGGATCCGTAGGATCACATCAGAATTGATAAGTATTTACGCTGGGTTCGGTGACAATAATGCAACGTTAAGATAAAGTACCAAACATAAGGAGGGACAATCGTTTTCCCTCGTGCATAAAAAATGTCATGCATATTCTTCTTCCTAGGCGGAAAATTTTCCTGACCAACGAAATTGTAACCCGCTTGGTTCTAAACGAACTGGAATGTAAGAGAGAGCACTCAAACATACGAATAATCGTATCTCCTCACCTGGAGAAATGTCTTTCGGCGGTTCCGTAGGGTTTGGGGTTTTAAATAGGCTTAATCTGGTTTCACTGAGCTATTTGAGGGTAATGAAATAAATAAAAAAAAGCTAGACATTAGGTTAAATTTTTGGCTTTATAAACTAAAAAGGGATTCTGCTGCCTTTAGAGGACCTTAATTCTTGGAAACGGAAACCATTTGAAATGGTAATAAACCTGCCAATACTTTCCGGCCAAAAGTTATCTTTCCTAAAACTGTATCTATGTATTTATGAAAAACTCATGAAAAGCAATAGAGCCAAAGTTGAAATGTAAATGAGCTCAGAGGTGTCTAAAGCCTAGGGCGTCGAACAGTGTATAGTTTACGGATAAAATCTACTGCTCGGCTTAGAACAGAGGCAGGTTGTGAGTAGCAGATGATGACAAAAGCGATGACGAGATATCGAACTTCATAAACCGAAGAAAATGAGTAGCAGTAGAGGATTTGTAGTCTCTTTTAAACAACTTTCGTAGAAAAAGTTTAAATACTTAAGTACCTAGTTGTTTTCAAAATCTACGCAAACGAAACAAAAACAGTAAGAATAATATACCTCGGCTTTGCATGAGAGAGCCAAGTTGAGATGGAGACCCGTAAAAAATAACTCAACATGAATTCAAGAATTTCCATCATGCTGGCTCTCGCTATGGCATCAGTTTATATCAGTTAGTGGTAGTGCAATCGTGTCTTTACCTTCGAGTATTGGGCGAGTGCACTCCCTTCCTCTGGTTCGAGCTGCTCTTGAACGATGACCAAGAACTGCCGACCCCCTAATCAAGGGTGTTAAGCGCCGCAGCCCCGCCGAGGTTTTTGTAGCCAGGGTGTTTACCACACCGCCTGTATCATTACGGCGCCTTCCGAATACCGGGCCGCCTCAGGGAGTAAAGGTAACCTTGCTGTGGCATGGGCCGCTGCCGTGGTGGACTGTTAATTTCGCCCTTACATTAATTAGACCACTGCGCCCTCCTCGTTGGGTAGGTCGTCGTACGAACAAGATGAATACAAAAAATAACAAAAATACAGCAAAACAAATTCGCAAATTTCAAGCTCGGAGAATCGTCGGAGCCGACATCCAAAGCTATCTCTGCCCTGGTTGGGAGTTTTGAGGAGGCGAAGTCATCGCTGGCTAAAGCCATAGGTGGGGCCTGCACGACCAGCGTCGTATGGAAACCGGAGCTGGCCAAGGACAAAGCTTCAAGCAGCGGAGGGTAATCGGTGTCGATACCCAAAGCCGTCTCTATACCGAGAGGAAGTTATGGCCCCGTGTAGGCGAATTCGGCTCTCGCTAAGGGCAAAAGTGTGCCCTGCATGGCCGGCGTTTTAGGTGCGTCGGCTATGTCGGGCAAAAGTAGCGGAAATCGTCCAGTCGCGGTCAATGCCTGTGCAAAATCGCATAGCGTATCGAGGGTGTAGTGCCTGGCCGAACCGTCAGCACCAGCAGGGGCCTGTCGCGCATTCGGACCGTCGCATGGCTACCAAAATTTTAGAGCGCTACGATATGCAGTGTTCTGATCAAATACCTGATCAGCATGCTCGAAGGCTCGAGTGGGTTAAAAATATGCTCAGTGAAGCGGTGTCTAGGGTAGCCTCACAGGTGAAGCCAACCGGCGGCGTGACTCCGACGCTATCTGATACGAAGCGAGAAAGGTCGCTAGAGGGGAAACTGGAGAGTTATCTGGCTAGAGAGGGCTTAGGGCCTTTCCGAAAGTGCTGGTATTGCTCATTGCAGCGTCCCTCGGTGCTCTCGATGTTCCTAAGGGGGTCATTAGGATTCTTCCGACCGGAACCAAAGCTGATGACCCCCAGCCTCCAATAGCACCGAAGAAAGTTGAGCGAACGTTGACGTTTAGAGAGTTGGAAGCAGATCCTCTGAAGGAGGGTCGAAGTAGGAACTAGGGGCTCATGGAGAGGTTCTGGTGAATGAAGATTCTTCAGATTAATCTCCAACACCCTGGAGCTGGGGAGCTTTGACTAATATCCGCCTATATGCTGCACGATAAAGAGGTCGAGCCACCTCCAACGCTGCTAAGGAGCGCTCTAGCAGAAGCCAAGCGAAGAAAAGATGGTGTTATTGCAAGGTTCGATGCGAATTCGCGTCACTCAGTTTGGGGAAGTTTGGACACAAACTCGCGAGATGCTCTTGAAAGCGCATGCCTGCTGAGTTTTCAGAAAGCAGAGGGAAACGCCTTTAGCAGACGGTAGAGCTTTCTGCCGTCAAGCAGACGGTTATTCAATAGAGTCCGCAGCAGTAAGTCACCTTCTGGTTGGGAACTTTATAAGGTTTGTCTGGGAATCTACAAGTGCAAGAATAGAAAAGAGTTTCATGCACGGCTTTCTTCGAAAACGTAGAAGTGTGTCATAAATCCTCTGGATTTAGGAGGAAATTTCCTTAAGGAAAGTGCGTGAAGACAGTGCTGCTTTTTCTGACCTTTTGGATGACCATCGCCTGACTGCGTGATAAATTCTTTCAAGCCATTAAAATCTTCAGGATCTGATGGCATCATACTTGCGCAGCTGTAAAAAGCTGCGGAAGTATCGCTCCGTTGGTTAGCCCCAATCAACAACTGATAATTCAAATCCATTCAATTACACGGAGTTGACATAATTGGGAAGAACCATCAAAAATATAAGTGATATTTGATTGAAATATGATTAATTTTCTGGATGTGTGCATAAGCTTCAGCAGACTTTAGTGAAGTGAACATTGGTGGCTTTTCAGAAGTGGAATAACCATTAACTTCAAAAATAATTTCAATAATTGTTTATCGAACGACGGCCTAGGTGTTTACCTAAAGCACACAATTACACATCTACACACTATTTACACATATATATACACTAATTCATCAATCACACATTTATTTACTATTCGAATATTTAATACATACCTCATACATGCCGTAATCATGCAGCACTGTCGAACGATTGGCATGTGCCATTGCCGCTGTTGTATTTTCCGCATCCTCTTCGACGGGCGCTAGAAATATGGCCTCAGTATACAGATCGCATGCCTTGAGTGGATGATGTTCCTTGCGATAGCAATTATTGCCCGCCTCACGGACACGTTGTGACTCCTCGTCCGATCTGAACGATTCTGTTTGGACGTACAACTGTTGAAACCACTCGAGCACTTGGACTCTGTAAGCAATAAACAACAAGGTAGAGAAAAAGTTAACAAGAGTCAACAAAATAAGAAAAAAAACAATAACAAAACGTTAATACTCGTAATAGCAAAGCAAAGGGCGCTAAGTATGTATTGTACACCATAGCGACGACATGGAACTATAAGAGTCAAAAGTGAAAAAAAAACAACTAGAAATGAAAAACAAAAGCCAATGCCTGAAGCGCTACTCACATTGGGAATTTACATAATTATTAGTTTGGGAATAAGCGTAAGTGTGGCGGCGCACAGTGTTTAACTATTGGTTGACTCGATTCTAAATATGTCTACTATTTAACAGGTTTTAAGCGGTATTTTCCTGAGAAAAAATGGCTTTAGCAATTATCAAAACACACAAGAAGTCGGTGTTGTATGAGGAGAAATTTTTCCATAGGAACTCGAATACGCATTTTACCGGCTCAGAAACGGTAGTTGAATGATCGACTGAAAACGGATTTGTCTTCGTTTGCCATATCAAGTTCAATAGTATGCAAGGGTAGCTCCAAATCAAGTCCTCATAATGTTTCCTAGTCCTTACAGAGTTAAGGAAATTTTGGTAATATTATGCATTTTTAGTTTTATTCTGGGGAGTATGGGGAGAATGTATACTTTAAACCAGGGACTGAAAATAACAGTTATTGTTGAAAACTGTCATGGAAAAATTCATCATGAAGCAAATGTTCTACAACTGAGTGAAATATACCAATCGTTTTCTTCTTTCACCGAGAATGAAATTTGAAAATTAATTTCGTTTTTGTAATTTTTGTGCAAAAAAAAAAAAGACTAAAAATTATTTTATAAATACGAAATAACAGTTATTTTTGATTTTTATATTATATGCATTAGATAACAGTTATTGAAGACTTTTATTTATAAAAAAAAAAATCGGTCAGTGACTTTTACTTATAAAAGTCATCAATACAAATGTACATATGACTTAAAAAATAAAAGTCATTGACTGATTAATATTGATGACTTTTATAAGAAAAAGTCACTAACTGATTTGTATTGATGACTTTTATAAATAAAAGTCTTCAGTAACTGTTGTCTAAGACATGTTATATAAAAATCAAAAATAACTGTTATTCGTAGATTATTTAGATAAAAATCAAAAGTAATTGTTATTTATGGAGTAATTAAACAGAAGTTAAAAAATAATTGTTATAGATCGATTTATATAATAAAAGTTGTAACTGTTACGGTCCCTGCTTTAAAGTAATTGCCAGACAAATTTCAGCTGCTTCCGCTTGCGTCCATTTCCTCAATCTTCCGCTTCACACTCGCAGATCCCTATAAAAGTTGCAGGAAAAGGTAGTGAACGTATCTTGATTTTGCTAAAATGTGATATTTGAATCACTTTCACTAAAAAAGAAGAAGTATGAAAACTTGGCGAACTGCCACGCCCACCACACCAGAGGACAGATATGGTAAATTTTATCCGATTCCAATGAAATTCGATTTGTAATTTGTATTACGCGAGGCAGACATACATCTGGAATATGGTGAAAATCGGTCAACTGCCACGCCCACCATTTATCTGAATTTTGTATCTTAAAGTATGAAGAACTAGTAACGATCCTAAAAAGTAGCAAAAATTTGGGGCAAGACGTATTTTTGTATAAAAAGCCAAAAATTTAAAAAAATGTTGGGGATTGGCGAACAGCCTCGCCCTTCCTCCCCGCAATAGTGGGCGGTAGGGTTGTCGACATTTTCTAAGATATTTATAGCACCAACTTTTAAAAAAAAAAAATAAAAATCAGGAAAAATATAGTACACTTCAAATATATATAGTATTTTATTTAAAAGGAAACGTAAACACTCATTTTTTCTTTCCATTGTATTTATTTTATAAAAAATATATTTCTTTGCACTTTTGGCAATCTTTAACAATTCCTTGATAACTATGAAAGTATCATATGATTTATCGCAATCAAAATGTAAATTAATATAAATCAAAAGTTCATTTTTATTATAATTTTCATTCAACAAATAAATATTTATATAAATTTTTATATTTATTTACAACTGAAGATATATAGTATTTTTGCATGCTGTGTTTTTTTCCAACAGTATAAAGTACGCAGACTGAAAAAATAGTAGAATACTATATACTAGTGAACCCGCATGGCGTTAAAATGCCCAAAACTTAATTTCAAAACTTAAAAAATATTCCAAATGTTAGCCGCCCTCTTCAAAAGTATTTTTAAGCTTAATCCTTGTTAACGCACCTTCGCCTGACATTTCGGTACATATTTTAATTAACTGAGGAATTAAGTGGAATTTGATTTTTTAATCATGCGGCAACCCCGCTAAGTACAGTTCAGAAATAAAAGTTTTGTAAACCCCCTTCGACTGATAACCATATTTTAATAATTTGAATTTAACTTTTTAAACAGGTGGCAACCCTTGTTCAACGTCTCAAAAATATTCTTAGCGTTCAAATTAAAGATTTCTTAACACTCCATAGTTTGATATTTTTTGTTGTTTCATATAACTTTTTTCTTTTTAATAATTTGAATATAATTTTTTAAAAGGTGGCAACTCTTTTCGAAAAAATAAAACCTTATTGCCCATACAGTCCAAGCCTTTTAATTTGACACCTGATATGGTGGCATTGATTTTTAAATAATTTGAATTTAATTGTTCAACAGGTGGCAACTCTATTCCAAAAAATAAAACCAGTTTGCAGATCTTTTATCCTGAACAAAAAATGCCTTCGCGTATTATATATATAGATTATAGTACGGTTGGCAACCCTAGTGGGCGGGAACGGGAAATACTAACCGATTTTATTAATCAAATCAATTTGTATCTTACAAACCGAGTTTCACTGAAATCAACCGCGGCTGATGGCCAATCCACACATATTTTTTTTTATATTTCTGGGTTTTTATACAAGAATAGATCTTTTGCCAAATTTTTGCTATTTTGGAGGTCCATTACAAGTCCTTGCCACATTAGAATCCAGGATTCGGATGGCTGGTGGGCGTTGGAGTTGACCGTTTTTACCCATCTTTCAGATTTATGTCTTGCTTTGTTTATCTAAGTCACAAATGGAAATTCATTGAAATCGGATAGAATTCAATATATCCGCCACCTAGTGTAGTGGGCGTGGCAGTCTGCTCAATTCAACCTTTTTTTTTCAAATTTATTAATTATATAGAGCTCTTCCACTGTGCGACGCTGTAAAAGTAGAGTGGTAGTGGACGGGGAGACTGCGCGGCGGATTAAGGGCTGCGTGGCGGGTTAGCGACTACGGGGTGGCATGCAGTCATCAAGTGCGCGACAATGCGTCTATTTTTAAATGAATTCTCGCCGCTTGACTGTTAATGTTGCTGTTGCTGTTGCTGTTGCCGTTGCCGTTGCCGTTGCTGCTGGTACTTTTCAACACTTGACACGCTAAGCCTTTGGCTTATGAGCAGACGGCTAAATAACACTTGGATGAAGGATGTAGGATGAATGTATGTACATACGTGTATTCGTTTGGCTTACTATGCTTGAGCTACTAGGTGTGTGCCAATAAATCTACGAGCACATACTATTTACACATTTACATGCCTATATGAGTCATGTTTTCATGTTTGTTTGCCTTCATTTTCCTATGTATATCTATGTGTGCGCTCGCGTGTTTTCTTTGCCAACCACAAAGTCAGCGCTATGCCGTGCAAGTGACATTTCTTTCCAGAAAAGGTTACGCGCACTTTTCACATTTTCCTGATTGCAGTAAAATTGTTGGCCACACACACCTCACCCTCGCGCCTGCTAAACGCTTAACCCCATCGCTTTGTATTTTATATGAATTATGGTGTTAATGCGTAAGTGTGCTAAAGCTTCGGTGAGTGTTGTTGTAGTCTACGGATTATAAACAGAGAAAAAAGTATGTTATATAGCATTAAAGTAGCGCTTACTTTCATATAATTCCGCTAGCATATACCCAGCCGGAAGTTAGCAACTATAGTAAAGCTTCTGAGTAATGTGCTTACTTCCTGAAGGATGTGTTGGCTGAAAGTCTTTTCAACACCAGAAATAGTAATAAGGGTTAAATGACTGCAAGTAAATATACCACATTCGTACTAGTTCCTATCAACTAAAACTGTGTATAGAAAACATAAAGCTACTCGTGTAAGGCTAGTCAAAATGAGAAGGCTGGCTTTCTAGATATATGTACAGTTAGAATAGCGCGTTCATACTCAATCCTTATTATACGCTCGTTCGTGCGCTCTGTACAACGAGAACGAATTTTGTGCGAGAAGAGGTAACCAATCTTGTCAAGATGGAAAGGTAGCGATAATTGGTGGGCTCACTCCAATTTATTCAGTTTAAGAGAGCATTGCAAGTCCGCACCAGAAGTCTCTGCGAGAATGAGTCTGCCGTGGATCAAGCGGATTTGTCGATGGATATTTATAGCAGTCGTTATACCAATCCTCCTGTATGTAGGGATCATGGGGTGGCCTGTATTAGATAAAGAGGTAAACCTCAGGCTTCCAACCAAGGCGAAAAGGTTCAGTCTCAATGCTATTTGAGGCACTCTGCCACTAACTTTGGCAGGACAGCAGTTGGCAACGCTCGCTGCTCTTCGCATTAAAGGGGCTTCCCAACGGCAACCAGAAGCGCAGGGACACTCTTTTATCTTAAATAAATTTTGCTTCATTCCGAACAGCACAGACCGCAGCGCTTCGAAAACGGCACGGAATCGCAGGCACGGAAGAGTGGAAAGAAGATATTAACAATCCACCCGGCAGTATTGTCATCTGTATAGATGGCTCGAAACTCAAACGGTAAGGTAGAAGGGGGTGTTTTCTGGTCACGAAGGGTATACTCTCTTATAAGAGAGGATATATCTAACATTGTGGGAGTTATAACCGGGCACTGTCTAATAGATAAACATGCAGAAAGGCTCGGTGTGCCTTTCCGAAGGTGTTGCAGAGGCTTTAAGGACTACGACGAGGAGGAAGAAGTCTTAAATCTGCTATGTAAATGCCCTACAGTGTGTAAAAGCATGCAGCGTCATCTGGATTCACGCTCCTAGACGACCTTGGGGAGGTCTCA